AACTGTACATTTAGTTTATTCTCCGGAGTAAATTTCTAACTTTAACACCTTTAGAGGAGACCATACTCTGCTGTTTACCTGATATTCATGCTAATAAAACATGATGAGTTTAATTAAATAGTAAATTAGCACACATTAGCATCTCTACATTCTACAATACTGCCTGTTAGCAGGAAAATCATTTTAAAGTATAAAAAGAAATGTTTTTGGCTACATATTGAGGCAAGATAGGGAATAAAAATTTGTAAAAATATACTCTTTCCTCATGGCAGACAGTAATGAACCTATTCACTTGAAGGGAGGGAATTTATATTTGTATTGTGCAAATTAAGATTCATCATCCAAGATTCAGAAACGTGTCACATACAGATGTGCAGTGAAATTATCTCCTCATAATAAAATCCAACACACATCAACTATATAAAACACTGTCCTTTATTTAACAAGTAAAAAATATAATAAATAAATCAAAATCTGGTAACATCAATGAGTCTACGTTTCCTGCTCTCTGATCCAGGCGATTACTTTTAAGTTCACTTCATCCAGCACAGAGTCCTCCGCTCTTCCTTTCACTGTCAGTCCATGGCTGCCTCCTTGTAGCCAGAAAACCTCCACTTGAGCTTTCATTTCTTTAAGCATCCCGTTAAACAGCACCTGAGCAAAGACACAAAACGGATAATCAAATACCACAAATTACACAGGATGGAAGAACAGCGTATGTAAGACAGGATAGTGACTAGATTCTCAACAAGACAGGCTTTCTGGAAGTTTAATAAAGAAGAGAGGAACTCTTTAGCACAAGCAACAGATGACTGATGTATTTCTTGAGTGTCCAAACAAGGAGCAAAAACAAACTTTCTCAGACAAAGAAAAAATACAATCAATTCAGAATATATAGGATACAAACACATATACCTCATTAGAACATATGCCATGTAGCAACAACTCTATATATGGGAATAAGAAAACGATATTAACTTCTTACACATGCAATTTAAGTGCGTATGTGTCTTCCTCACCCTGTCACACATGTTGTCGTCAGTGCCGGACACAAACAGCACACGCATGTGCTCGGGTAACGTCCGGAGATCTTCGCTGCGCTGCTGATGGGCGTGCGTCTGTCCCGGTGGGTGCAGGGGGAAAGAAAGGCAGACGACGCCCTGCACCGCATCCTCAGATTCATCACTCAGCCGTCGAGCTAGAGCCGCAGCAGCACGACATCCCATCGACCTGCCTGTGGACAAGTCACAGCGTTAAAGGAATCCACTCAGGAAGCAACACGGTCCAGCAGTTTATGGTGCAGACAGTAGTTATTCAATTTATTGTGAAATTAAGGATATTTAGGGTCAAAGTGGGCTAAAATTTGGAAATGTTATGCATTTAGGGGTCAGTTTTAAACATGAATTACTTCTGATTCTTGTTTTTTTTTATTTTTCTGGTGGCTTCGACTTGACAAACTGTAAGATTTAAGATTAGGCTTCAAACTTTCCTCTTTGGTAAAGCTGATAGTTAGAACCACCTGGACTGTCCTTTAGCTATGCTGCTAAAAGTTTAGACTACCTGGAGATTCCAATGATGCACTGAGCTCCTCTCCTCTCCCTTCCCTTTCTTCCATACAGTGACACATCACTAACTCTGGGTTTCCCCCCAGGTCCAGTGCTTGTTCTCTCCCTCACCTGAAAAATACTTACTGTTCTGTTTGTATTGCTTGCTCTCCATCTGCTATCCCCATCCCAACCNCACCTTGCAGCCCCACCACAGAACTTAATTCACAAAAAGAGATCTACATTTGCTAAAACACACCAGATCCTCAGTTGCTCTCTACCACATGTTTAAGGCTGAAAAAGATACAGAAACGCTCTGCTGCATCGACTCAACGTGCAGCTCATCAGCTGAGCGGCTCCGAGGACTTTGAGGCAGACCCACTCCAGCATGGGTTGACTGGGAACGTCACACTCACCAGACTTGATACTCAGTTTTCTGAAAGCACAAACAAAGACAAGCACTGCAGGAGGGCTGGACAATATAATACTTCAGCACTGACACTGCGATGTGTCCAATATCACATTCCAGGAAGTGCATTGTGAGGTAACGCAAACTGACTGACTGACATGCGACAACATGTTTTGCTGGTTGATACAAAAAGAAAATTTGCAGAGTTCTTAGTTTCCGTAACTAATCTGTAAAAACTTGTCTGTCTGATAGAAGATCTTTTAGTCTGATTTAAAGGTTCTTTCTTATTTTTGTTAATTTAATTTACAAAACAGTTTGTTGACATGCAGGCTCTACATATGCACAGCAAAATGAGAGAGTGACAGAAGGGAAACACTGGAAAGGAGTTTGTTTGCAACAGGAAACACAATGTGAGCTGCATGGAAATATTTGACCCACAGAAAGGATGATGTTACCCAGAATCAGGCACTTTGTCTGCAGTGTCTTGCGATTGTTGCCACAACTAATCTGTTTGACCATTTAAACCAGTGCCATAAAACTCAGTATGACGAGTGCCAGGACAGTTTTGAATGCCATCCAAAGCAGAAGGTTATGCTGGTTGCCTTCCCAGTGTTACTCGATATGAGGAAGGTTCCAAATAAATTATTATTGGTGCAGTCTCACTTCAGTCATCCGAGAACAATATTTTTTTTAACCAAAATAAGCCATCTGGAGAATAGTGCTCAGTTTTTTCATATCACAACATAACCACCGAAAAACTAAATATTACAATGTCAGTTTCTTTCCAATATCATGCTGCCTTACTCTACAGTGTCTACACACAAGCAACAAACATTTGATTGACTACGACTTTATTCCTTCAGATCCTGGACACATCCTCACCGCGTTTCACTGCTTTGTTTACCTCGGCCCATTTCATTATGTCTGTCCTGCCTTCAACAGGAACCTACCTATGAATCCTACTTGGACACAGATCAGCCAGGTCCTGAAGAGCAACGTCGAGCTTCATGTTCTTCAGTCTGTTCACACATTGTTCAACCTGAGAGAGACCAGATACAGTATGTAACACACAGCATGTAACACACAGCATGTAACACACAGCATGTAACATACAGTTGAGGGTTCAGCTTTCTGCCACCTTCAAATGTTCACATACACGACACAATAAACTGGGAATGACCTGCACGTTTCCCAGCATAGTCCTGAACTGTCACATAACATGTGGAGTGCAGGTTTTATGCAGTCATCACCTGCTGTAAGCCCTTGAACGTCTTGTTGCCTCTGTAGCTGTTGTTCAGGATGTGCAGCACCTCATACAGAACTCGTATCTCTGTTTGAAGGATGTCACTGTGAATCAGTTGAAGGACCTTCTGGTTTGCTGCCAGCAATGTCTGAACATTAGCCCCTGCAACACAACAACAGCAGCATGTAATATCCACATAAAGGTAAAGCCCTGCACTCCCACGTGGGTCACCAGGAGCACATCACTCCGCTCAGCTCAGCGCCAGATGAACACCTGACAGAACCAGACATTCAGCCCATGAGCGTCCAGACGGAGGTTCCTACCGATAGCTGAAGTGAAACGTACACGGACGCTGGAAACGACACTCGGGAAGGGGATGTTTACTCTGTTCCACGGTGGTGCTGCCATGCTTTTCTGCACAACAAGATGCGGAAGCGAAGGAGCCAATAGGAGTCAAGTAAATATAAACGTCATCGTCTGTGTTAAAGG